AAATAATAATTTAATTAAAAAATAAAAATTGATGTTATAACTTATGACTAATATATATATATATATATAATGTATTAGAATACATATAAATAAGTAAAATAAAATAATTTATTTTAGTTTTATATTTAATCATTCACAGCTCAACCAATCAGCTAAATGTGTATATTAATCAGAGCAATGCTCTAGCTGCTTACTGCTAATGCTGCATTATGCTACTATTCATCAAAAGCTATACCAATCAAGACCTGAATCTACCGAGCATTTATCACTATCACAAAACCAGTCCTAACCAAAATAAGCATTCAAAACTACTCATCAATGATATAATAAACAAGAGATATAAAGTAACAACATTTCACAAATTAACTATGTTCAGATATAAAGTAGCAACATTTCAACCAAAATCATCAAAAATATGAATTCTTTTAATAATTTGGTATGGTTCTGTTTAATAATTTTGGCCATACGAATACCGAATAATTTTCAAAGGAACTCTGATCGGTTAATTAGGTGTGTGCTATATGTGTGGGCCGCGGAGGGAAGAGAACACGTGGAATGGAATTTTCAGCTGCCATGGCGAGAAAGCGGAACCTCCAAGCAATTTCTGCCTCATCGATGAAAGTTTGCAAAACAAGGAAGGTGAGACAATGTTTAGGGTTTAGAATGGATTTAGGGTTAATTCGGATTCTTTTGTCGATTTTTGGAGTTGATGGGTTTCTAAAAGCTTTCATTTTTTTATTTTTTTCTTGTGTAGCTAACTTCGAAGATCCTTAAGGAAGCTTATGCGCAGCAAAGAGAGATCGAGAATGAAGAAAAGAGCAACTTTTTCGAGAAGGCAGTGTATCGATTTGACGAGGTTATTGATGATGTTGATGAAACTCAGACCCAATTTGATTACCAAGTGAGACTCTTTCTTTACGGTTCAACTCTTATGTAGGGTTTTGTGATTATGATCGAGTACCTTTTTCACAAAACCCTAATATTAAGACGTGGTTTTTCTTTAACATATGTTGTGTTGTTAATATTGTAGTACCAGGAGATGATTAGTGAGGAAGAAGAGAGGTAACTTGATGCATTCTCTCTCAAGGATGGTCATTCAATATCCAAACGTATCTCTGATGCTCTTACTTCTATCAAAGATGATGCTACTACAGGTTGCTTCGTAGATTTATCTGTCTAGATTTTTATTTTTGTTTTTTTTACGGTTTAAGTGGCTAATTATTTCTTGCTTTCAACGGTTTTAGGTTCAGCTTCTCTTGCACAAACTACTTCCATGTCTGATGATGAGTCCGAAGACATTGACCACCTTCCTCGAAGGTAACAATTTTCTCTTTCTCCTTCTCTTTACATTTTGGAATTTTTGCCTCTGATATAACCCATCAAACTGTGCAGTCTAGGAAAGTTAGTAAAGTTTTTGAGTGTATACTCACGTGGGAAAATGCCGAAAGCATTTTACAAGATTGCTAGACTGAAAAACTGGGATAGTTTATTTTTGAACAAGACTCAGCCAGAGAATTGGTCCCCTAGTACCATGTACAAGGCTACAAGCCTGTTTGGTTCTTCCTCCAGCATCAAAGCTAGACGCTTCTACGAGTTTTTTCTTCTTCCTCGGGTGAGAATGGATATCAAAAATCACAAAAAGCTACATTTTTTTCTCTATCAATCTTTGAAAAATGCATTGTTCAGCCCAGATGGATTCTACAAGGGAATACTACTTCCCTTGTGTAAGGTATTGTGTGTGCTTCTCAGTTCAATCAATATTTTCTCTTCTTCTTCTGATCATCCTTGTATTATACTCTTTTCTAAGTAACTTGCATGTTTTTCAGTCTGGAACATGCACCGTCCCTGAAGCTATCATTATAGGAAGTGTAATGCAAAAGGTTTCTATTCCTGAAAAACTCTCAAGGTAATTAGGATTTAGCCTTATCTTTCTGAAAGTTTCGCCAGATTACTAAATAACAATACCATGAACTGCAGTGTTGCCTTGGTCTGTTTGGCGGAGATGACTTTCTCTAAGTTCGATGGCACAAGAAGGTAGATGCACGCTA